ATTTCATCAAGGTTAGTAGAAGGCTATAAGATCCATTCTTTCTTGGACGTAAGGGTATATAGAGAAGGTCATAGCTTATTATTATTATTCTAGGATTTTGACTTCAACCCTCAAGAAACATACCTACATCACCGGTATCCTATCTTGGTCTAGAGCTAGTACTGCCTACCTAAATGTATGGCCCGTAGCGCTCTAAAACTCTGGATCAGGGAAAAGCAGGGATGTCCACTGGAGAACCAGACAGGGGCACAGGCACAGGCACAACAAGACCTTTATCCAGCGACCTAGCTCTAAAACCACAAAAGAACGCTAATAATGCTTAGCAGGAATAAAGTGCGGATTACAACAGGTATGTCAGGACATATGGCTGACAATTGTTCCTGAACAAGCTTAACCTGTATCAAGCAAGTCTCTCTTAACCTGTATCAAGACTCTGCGATAAAGATCCTGAAGCAGCTGAGCACATAATATGTCACTGCGAGGCTCTGGGTCGCATGCGACACTTTTTTATTTTGGAAAGCAAGACTAGAAGCAGAAGAACTGTGCTTCGATCCTATCAAGGACCTGCATAAGTTGATGCAGAGTACAGGTATAGGAGAATGAGTGCAGATATAGAAAGGGGACAAACACAATAGGCCAAGTGGCTCCGGCAGTGTTAGGCCGCAGTGTTTCCGACAGACGACGGCCGTTTATTATTGAAAAAAAACATACCTACAATAAACAGGATCATCACCATAATTCCACTCATAAAACAATGATAAAAGAGGGCATAATCAGACCGTATGAAGGATCAAAAGATATCTGCAAATCAGAAGAATCTTCATCACCGGAAATCAAAAATATAAATTAGGGCAAAAAATGATGATCTTGAACAGATTTTATTGAAGCAACTTTGACAACCAAGAAAGAAAACCATGCAAAACCTGGAATGGAGAAAAATAGTAAAATATTTTATCGGTTCCTTTTAGTAGAACAAATACTTTAGTAGTAAAAGAAATGAATGTTAGAAAGCATGACAGTTGCTATGAAAAAAAGAATTAATTTATTGAACATTTGACTAGTTAAAGAGAAGCGCAAATACTTCCAGACTAGAACGCAGAACCATGCTGCAGGATGTAGTGGAAAGGGCTAATCTTATACTTATATGCTTGATGGCTAATAGGAGGTGGCTAAATAGATTGTTCTATTGGATCCGGAATAGAGAAAGCAGAAAGCAGAATCATGGAATGAGAGCATAAAGCAAGCGATTGTATCATGACAACAGTACAAGGATAAGGTTTTCTTATAGAGAATTGATTGACATAAATATAAAATTGCTGCAATAATAGTATTAATTATCTTTATATCTGATCAAATGAAGTACTATAAGTATTAACTTCGATGGAGTAAAACTGAAGTATTTCCGTTTTACCGATGACTTTGTCCTTAAAAAGAGTGAATTGATGACATTATTGATATGATCACAAAATTCAATTACTACCCTAAGAACACCATTAGAAAATAATTTGACTTAAATAGAATTGGACGGGCCTGGTAGGTCAAATGTGAAATAACAGTTGGACTAATCGCATGTGAAGCTACTAAAAAGTTAAATTACATAAAAAAAATTGAAATCAATTGATTATAGATGATGCGAGAAGAAAAAAAGTCACTACAAATGAGAGACTCCAATGTCCTGCGGAGAAATGTTTGCTCCTTTTTAGTTAATAAAAACTAAATATGCTTTGATGGTTGTTTAGACTATTATACTCGTAGTATACATAGTCATTGTCTATAATACTTTGAAGTTGTTTTTAAATTTGAAGTGGTTGTTTTTTAATTTCAGAGACAACCTATTTATTAGACAGCCAGTCGATTTACTACCATTTACATGGAACTTTGCGTGAACTACAATTGTAAAATATTTTCCGTAATTATAAGTCCTACACAGGTAAGTACAAGTTGCCGTGTGTTACGAAACTTTACAAGTCTATATCCAAAAGCGTACAAGTGTAGCACTTGTAGGTCTTGTGTTACAGGCCCCTGCTTGTGTACGAAAACAGTCGTGGCATATGAAGTTCAGATACTCAAAGGCAAACGATTATGACTAGCTGGTTACTGAATAAGCTGTGATTTCAAAATCAGACGTTTTTATTTCATATAAAAATAAATTTATATAAATAGCTTAGATTTTTTATAAGTTGCATGATGATACGAGCATAAATATAATTGTCTGTGGTATATTATAATAAAATTGTTTTAATTGTAGGATTAAGTTTGTCTACAATTATCTGATCAAGTTATCATTAAGTAGTAAAGATAAGTGATAATACAAATAATTGCCTAATCCTGCTTTGTTTTAATTTTAGCAATACATATATCTATATCTATCTCGTTTTAGTTATAAAATTTGTATTAAATTCGTTAAATGGTTATGTAAAACGTTTAATATAAGAACAAATAAAGAAGAAATAAGAATGTGTGTTCTTTTTTTGTCCATGGCTATATTATTTATTTAAAAATATTGAAAAAAAAAAATTTATAAATAAATAAACTAAAAATTCATTAAGCCATTAGTACAATAAGGTCCGGACACGGCACTGTGCTGGCTATTCTGGACCTTGTGTCATTCATTTTGGATGGCTTTGTAGGTAGCGAACATGTTGGCGCGGTATTTTGCGATTTAGGTAAAGCCTTCGATTGTGTGTCTCACGAGTTGCTCATTAAAAACTCGACTATTATAAATTTAGTGAGGGTAGTTTGGCCCTTTTGAAATCCTACATGGAGGACAGAATACAGAGGGTGGTCGTTGATGGTGTGTGGTCGAACCCAAGACCTCTTAAGAATGGTGTCCCACAAGGTTCAGTACTGGGCCCTTTACTTTTTTTGAATTATATAAACAACTTACCACATATCCGACGTGACGACCACTACGTTTTGTTCGCAGAAGATACAGCGGTCTCGATCAGAGGAAAAGAGCTAAAAAACCTAGAGGGAGGCGCGGATGACGCTCAAGCTAGGGAACGGAAAAATAACCTAGTTTTAAATGAGGCCAAAACAAATCGTGTAATTTTTTCTTTGAGGAGTGTGCCTGAGGACTGTCGCTTCTCCAGGGAATCTGTTCCATTTTTAGGGGTTCAGTTGGACAGTGAAATGCGATGGAATGCTCATATTGAGCAACTATGCAAGAAGCTAAGAAGCGCGCTCTTCGTTCTGCGTAATTTGTCAGGTACTGTTTCCTGTTGCGTATTGCCAAATACGTTTAAATAAAATATACGACGGCCTCCCCATAAGAGCAATGAGAGGATTTACGTCCCGGTATTGAAGAAGGACAGAAAATCGAGTCGAATGTTCAAGACATAGGTTCATCCTTGTTTAGTCAAACCTCCTACAAACCAAGGATAGACTTATGTAGGAAATGGATTGAAATTCTATAGCCATCCTTCAATATCGGGACAGGAATTTAAGCGGTACCCTCCGTATACTTTATTTTAAACGTATTTGCGTATTGCGGACGGCTTACTACGCTCTTTTTCAATCTGTGATGTCCTACGCTGTTTTGGCTTGGGGTCACGCACCTCAATGGCGCAGGGTTTACGCGCTTCAGAGGAGGGCTGTGAGAGTTGTCGGAGGATTGGGCTACAGGGATGATTGCGGGGAAACCTTAAAATTTTAAATATACTTACTCTCCCAAATCTTTATATATTGGAAAATCTATTATATGGTAAAGCCAATACAGAAAAATATCCCACAAATGCTCAGCACGGCTCTCATGGCACTCGTAGGGCGGAACACCTCAGTATCCCTATACATAGGTTAGAATGGTCTCGAGATGGACCTACATACTGGGGTGTGAAGTTTTGCAATAAACTCCCCGATGGGTATAAATAATGTATGGTATTGACATCAATAAATTATTCTATTATTCTATTCTATTCAATAATGAATTTAAAATGATCAAGAACTAAACTTATATAAGGGCGTAAATATTAAAATTTGTTTATTTTTTTTCCTTTCAATTTTCATTACAAAAAAGTCATTAGAAATACTATAAATACGTAAAGCTGACAACGCTGCAAATGCCTCCACATCGCCTCACGGTTCCCTCGTCAGTACCGCGACGAAAACATGCGGTCTCCCCACCGTACTTCACGTGTACATTCTCGGCAACAAGTGGTATAGGTCTTCGGTAGTACCAGCGACGTTGCGGCGCCGTGCGAAAATTCCCTAACGGTACCGGATAAACAGCTCGTTGATTTTTATCGTTTGGAAACACATTTTTTTTCGAAATAATGTATTAGCCCGATCTTTTTCGCTCCTGCTGCCAAGATTGCCGCACGTCTCGTGGCGTCGCGGCTACGACTTCCTGCGACTCCTGCTGGCGCCAGAATTTTTTCTTATCTGAGCCGTTAGCTCTAAGTGATTCGCTAGCAACAAAGGGCGTAGCTACGGTTTTTTAAGGAGGGACAAAAATATATCTATATTGCAATCAATACAGCGTGATTTGCGTTCCGAAAAACTCTAAAACTATTAGATTCCTGGTTTGGAATTTTCAGTCCAATCTTGTTTACAAAATATGATAAACAATAAATAATTTTAAGTTATTTTTGAAGATTGTTATGGAATTTTTCACTTCCAAAATTTGGAATTTTTTGAAAAAATGTTTAGATTTTTTTTTGAGTTTTTAGTTAAAAACCATATAGCAACATATGTAGTAGATTAAATTTACAACAACGAAAATTCAGAAAAGACCCAGTGGTTCTCAAAATTTAAGCAAAAAATCATTTTTTTTAATTTAAAAATAAAATAACTCGGATATTTTGGACTTATTTGAAAAACGGTAAGGATAAAATATGTTCTTTTATCAAGATCTACCAGCCCTGACAATATTTGCACTTATTTAAGCTTCACCCTGTATATTAATAAATGTGATTTATTGTACTGTTGGGTAGATAAATATAGATTTTGTATAATTATAATAACTGATCAAATCATAAATTTGGATAAAGTTTAAGTTTTTTATTTATGTTGTAGATTTTTAAAGAGCACTCGTTAGCGATATTATCAATTTGTTTTAATAATTCCTGTTTCTTTTCCAAACCTAATTTATTAATAACGAATTCTACATTATCAATATCTTTTAAGGTATCCAAAACCTTTTGAAAATGATTAATAACAACCAATATCTTTTCTACATCGGCGTCATCAGACATAATGCTAAAAAATAGTGAATTTAGAAAAACGAGCAAATTGAACAGAATACATAAACAAAGCCAAAGCAAAGTTAAGAAATTTTTCCCGCGCTTCACAGCATATACATTTTTAAAAGCACACCATTGCAATATCAAATTATTGTATAATGTAAAAACGAAATATGCAGGAATTTACCTGCTTTAATCCTTATAAGATTAGTAAAACTAAGTATTAATTAATTTGTATAGGTACACCGTAGAGTCGACACTTAGACAAGGAAAGAGAGGGGACAGCTAACACGCATATTCTCCAGTGAAAAATTTTTGAGGCCAAAATTTGATCGGCGGCCATACTTTGGTGACAAGATTTAGAGGTGACACCAAGCGAATTTTAGGTTTTTTGTTCTACGTTCATTATACACACAACCAAACTTATATGGAATTTCTTCCTAACTAAAACGTCGCTTCTGACTAAATTTCTTGCAACGATAAAAATTGGTATACAAGTTTAAGATAAGGCTTTTTGTTGTAAATAAACATGATAATAAAGAATAAACGACTGCTGCGATTAATTTTCTTTTGAATTTTGTGTTCAGTAGTAAAATCACGATTGTCCGGTAATTTTCATTCAATCCAAAAAAAATAAAAAATGCCTTATGTTGGAACAGAAGGGAAGAATTATTGCTCTCCCCGAACAAGGAATGCTCCAGAGAGACGTAGCAGAGATAGTAGGCGTTACCCAGGGTGTTTTATCGAAAACATATGCAAGATACTTGTAATTAGGAACACACAAGGATAGGCCCATACAAAGTCGTCAAAGAGTCACAACTGAACAACAAGACCGCCTTGTGTACTAAATTGCTAGAATAAATCCTAATGTTTCTCAATCGAGCTACAAAGACCACTTCTGGCAGCTACAAATGTGAACATTTCAGTTGAAACCATAAGAAAAAGTCTTCGTGCACGAGGGTTTTACAGTAGGAGAGAGTTACGGATCCCACAGTTATCTCGGCAAAATAAAATTGACCGGCTAAATTGATGCCTTCAACATCAAAACTGGACAACTGAGAATTGGCAAAATGTTCTTTTTTCGGATGAGACCAGAATTGGCCTAAGATCAGATAACCATCGAATTCGGGTTCTCAGAGCTCCAGGAAGACGAGCGAGACTTCAGGCTGCCAAATCTGTACCAAGATATAAAGAAGAAACTGTAATGTTCTGGGGAGGTATTATACTAGGAGCAAAAACTCCATTGTTACCACTTCAACAAATTTTAACGGGTCGGAGATATGTTGATTTGGTGCTAGAACCAATCGTTAGTCTTTGGAGAGCTGCAATTAGGGATAATTTTAACGTCATGCACGATAGTGCACCTCCCCATACCAGCAGAGTGACTAGAGAATGTCTTGAAACGGAAGGTGTCATAGTTTTGGACTGGCCTGCCTATTTACCAGATCTAAACCCTATCGAACACTTGTGGAACTAGCTCAAATGAAGGGTTAGAGCTCGTCGAAACAATCCAGGAAATCTCGAACAGCTTATTGATGCAGCATTAGCATAATGGGAAAACATACCCCAAGACAACGTGGATAATTTAATAAGAAGCATGCCAGCGCCCTGGGTCGACCGTGTTAGGAATGAAGACATTCTCAGAAGAGCTGGTCTGGAACAACGTGAACTCTTCGAAATCATCAAGAAGAGGAAAATAGCTTATTTGGGACACATACTACGTGGAGAACGCTATCACTTTCAGCGTCTGATTCTCCAGGGTAAAATAGAGGGGGGCAAAAGGGGGATAGGACGAAGGAAGCTATCCTGGCTGAGAAATATTCGTCATTGGACAGGCATACAGGACTTCCAAGCACTCCAAGTCGCGGCAGTTAGCAGAACCATCTGATGAGGAAGAAAAAGATGAACGCCTACGTAGGAATCTGCACGGCACCTTAAGAAGAAGAATGCCAGCGCGGATAGAAGCTTGCATAAGGGCTAGAGGTGACAAGAAGGAATATTAAATTTTTCAATTTTCTATTTGTTTATGCTTTTTTGCCATTAAAAAATTTAATCTTAATTTCGTTTCAGAAACCAAGAAAATACCATTTTGTTTATTTTGGGAACTGAATAATTTATGCTATATGGATTATTTTTCATTAAAAGTCATTGGTAAGGACTGACTTTTATTCCTAAACAGAAAATTTTCATACATTTCAAAAATTATGAAAAATAATAGATGATTCCATATAAGTTTGGTTGTGTGTATTTCATAAAATACACGGTGTGCCATTTGAATTCGTATAGAAAATATAACCAAATTTTTATTCACCCTGTATATGTCATGCAATATAGTGTAATAATGAATTTAGTGAAAAAATATTGCAGACTATACTATTTTTTTCTTGATATGTGATTTTTTTGTTAAAATATATATCTTGCTCATTATTTAGTTAATCAAAGCAGGGCAAGTCCTCCAGAGTGCCCACTAGTAGCTACGCCCTTGTTCCAAGCGACTCGCCGGCAGCGACATTCCAAGAAAAATCTCGTTAAATCGAGTCACTACATTAACCACATAGCGCCCAGTTATATGTTTAATGGGCGCATCCTGTCTATTTAAACATTAATTTATTCTAATTTATGGCTGGACAATCTTATGGGAACGTCCATCTTTATTAGCTTGACCCATCAAAAACCACTTTTTTGTTTTCCCTATGGCGGAGAAGTTCTTATAAATTAGAAGTTAAACATATTTAATATAGCAAGGCAAAATCCCCATTTTTCATCGTCTTTAGATTCCTACCTAATCAAAGTAAACTTCATTAATAAAAGCAAATGGACACTAATTTGGACCGGGTTTACTTTAGGCGGATTTCGAACCGCAGTCATCAGCATATATAAATCTACCGCTTTGGTAGATGTAGAATGTAGATCGTATGAAAGTATGTAGTTCCCATTTTTTGAGTTATAACTCATCATACAGTCTACATACTTTGACAAAAACCAACATCTGAGACGGTTTTGCTTGTACCAAAGATTATGGAACGAATGGTTATCGTCTCGGCGCACTCAGTGATGAAATGTTCTGATTTTTCCTTATTTTCGCCGTTGTTTCTTAATTTCAATCTACTGAGTTGTTCGTTGAGGAGACAGTGTTCTGAGTCCTGAGGAAAAACCCCGTAACAATCCAAAAATTGTTCTTACTTAAATCAAGGAAAATCTTTGACATTTCTTGGTCGTAAACCTTGAGAAATTTCTTCGAGTGTCTTAGACCGTTGGGGGATTCCCATTCCAGGTTACGGTTGGATATTTCCAGGTCCTTGAGTTTTGCTTTAAGTTGGCTTCCACTTGGAAAGCAGAACAGTTCTGGTCCAGTTAGTGCAGTGTTCGCTCCTTTTCTAGCTAGATCGTTTGCTTTTTTATTACTTTCAATCTCTTGGTCATTTTGCATCCAGATCGAGTAAGTAACGCACCAATTGGTAGGTGTCCAACCTAATCGGCCCTTTAAACAGCATGAAAGCAAGTGTGGCGCTGGTTTCACTTGGCTTTGCCTTTACCTCTGTCTGTGAATATCAGAAAACCCGACCAAATGAGCGTCTCTTCTAGCTTCTTTTAACACTGAATACGTTGTGTAAAATTTGAAATATTAAAAACAATGTGTTCAAGGAGCAATTTTATTTCAAAAAGGGTCTATTTTACATTTAATAACTTTATTTTATTTTTAATGATAATTTACAGTTACCAATTTCTGTACAGCGCGTAAAAAGATAGGAATCTATAATTGAACTATTATAATACATAAAAACAAATATGGAAATAATAACCATAAATCATAAATTGCTTTTACCGTAGCTATACAGTATATTCCGTGCTTTTACTGTATAGTAGATCAATGAGTGTACACCGCGACACCTATAGAACTGAAGCCATACTGCTATTCACTCCTGCGTGGTCCTGCTAGCGATATTACAGAGAGCTCTTTCACGAATAGAACTTGTTGCAGGATGCTGCTATAAGATAACGCTATATATGGGATTTAAAAGTTCTATATAATATTTTATATGCAAAAATGTTTCACAAAAAGAGGTAAACCGCAATTTTCTACAAATTCTTACATTGATAAAGAAAACAGGTCGGATAAAACTGCTATGTGAATTTTGAAAACACGGCAGAGTTTCTGAAAGTACAGGGATAGATGGCGCTGCTTCAAAATTTCATCAAGTCATCCGAGAATAATTAAATTAACATGATGTGCATTTGGTTCTCTCTGGAGTAGTTGGAGTAGTTGAAAAATAAAATTATTTATATTAAATGTATATAATTTAAGAATGAGTTACTTTAATATCTTATGAATGAATATTAGTATGAAGTTACTTTCGTCAGAACGAATTAAAATTAAATAATGTAATAAAATTTTATTTTCAAAGTGATCCGGGTCATTTGGAGTAAGTAAAACAAATTAAAACCTAAACCACACGTCATATTTTATTTTACCAATCTGTCAGATGTCTGTCAGTTCAACTTTTGGTCTAAAGTCTAACCTAGTCTACTATGCTGGTCTAACTTTCAAGATCCAAGATGAGTATTCAATGGGCATTAATTGCTGGGTTTCTCTATGCAGAAATAGCTATTGTACTTGTTCTAGTACTACCAGTTGCAAGTCCCAAGAGATGGAATGCTATTTTTAAATCCAGATTTTTGCAGTCAGTACAGAAGCAAGCCGGTATTTATTTTCTTATTTTATTTGGGACCTTGGTACTATTTCTGCTAGATGCAATTAGGGAAATCAGGAAGTACTCTAATATTCAGCATGAGGAACATGGTCATTCTCATTTAGATATGGAAATGCAAGGCAGTATGAGGCTTTTCCGAGCACAACGTAACTTTTATATTTGTGGATTTTCGTTATTTCTTACGCTGGTTATAAGACGTCTAGTTATTTTGATTTCGTCTCAAGCTAATTTGTTGGCTCAGTCTGAGGCATCGATGAGACAAGCACAAAGTGCCACAACTGCTGCAAGAAGTCTACTAGCTAAAAGCGATGAGGCTAAACAAAATCTACAGGATAAACCCGATGAAAAGATGGTTTGTGCATTGAAAGAGACAGTGACAAATTTAGAGGAGCAGATATTAAAAGAAAAAAATAATAAATCTGTTATTAAGGCTAAATTTGATGATTTAGCTAAAGAGCATGATCGTCTATCGTTGGAAAATATTAAGTTGGAGAAGAAAATAACAATCAGCTCTGGAGATAGAAAAAATGAAT